CTTTGCAGCCATCCTCGCGCTGGGCGCTGGGGTGAGCAGACTCCCCTGCAAACACGCCGGTTGTTCCTGATGGAGGCAGAGGTTGGCGTGTGCGAGGAAGGGGAGCTGCCGGCCGGGAGGTCGTGGCTGCTGGCGCAGGTTATTCCACGGTAAGTCTCAAAATGGTTAAACTATTTCACATCAGTAACAGCCTTGTGCAGAAAAGCTCGGCTGTGTTACAGAGGAGTCGCCTTTTTTTGTCCAAATACCAGAATTGTTTGTACAATTGATTTTGTAAAATATTTTGCAATCATTTGAAAGTTGCTCTAAGGTTATTTTTCCAGGTATTGTAGGAAGCACATCTTGAGATCTTATTTCCAGTTCCCATGAAAGAAGGCAAAGCGACCCGAGAGGAGAAGGATCAGATAAAGGGAGAACAGCACGTGCTGGAGGAAATCAAATCTGCCTATGGAGAAGGTAGGACCGCCGTGGAGGAAACGAATGGGATCTGCCCATTGTCCGTGCTCTTCCGCCTGCTCCGGTGGGAGCTCGGCCTCCGGTGAAAAGATTGGTGCTAATTGTCCGTGGCATCCATGTGAAATAGAGGATTAAGCTGAGGAATAAAACCACTAAATGGGAGACCTCCCAATTACTTAAAAAAGACTTTTTCCCCCTCTCCTCTTGCTCTAGCTAATACACAATTACATTTCCCAGAAGTTGATAAAGACCGCTCGATTTAGGAATGATTTCTATAAACCTTTCTGCTTTACTGCAAAAGTCCTTTCTCACAAGAAAAATGCTGCAATGAATTCATCGCTTTGTGTTTGGGCCGCACAAAGCCAAGGACTGACTCATTTTTGGTGGCTTCGTTAGTGGAAATGATTCACGGGCTGGATTACCATGACCTCTTCTCTGGGCTGGTGCACTCTCCTCTTTGAAGATGCTTGTGACAGCAGAGGGCATGGCCCGGAGATCCTGAAGCAGAGGGTGGTAGGAAGCACCTGAAAGGGCCAGAAAACGTGATTCAGCCAAAAGCTCTCGCCCAGCCCGCGCCAGCACAAGGTTGTAGTGCCCTCCGTGTACTCGGACCGTGTCTGGAGGGGCTGTGGGACTTGCTGCCGTCTTTTTACACGATGAAGTAAGTTTTCATAGTACCTACTGTTGTTTTCATTGCCTCGTGTTTAAAAGATGGATAGCTTTAATGGGAAGGAAAGAGAAACAAACGTGTTGCAAAAATACACACAATAAGCCAAACCTGGCAGCAGTTGGATTAATGAACCTTTTTAGAAACTCCTTGAATGCAGAACACTTACAAGGCCATTTTAGTGGTGATACTCATCACGTAAAAACATTTCACAGTGCGGGTGCTGGCAGGGTCGTTACGCTCACCCAGCCCGCTCCTGTTAACGCCGGAGTCCGTTCACTGCTCCAACTAGTAAGTTTACATCAATTCAGCATCTGTTTCTCAACAGTAGGTCAGTAAAGTTGCATATATTTTCATTTTAGTTATCTCCTTTGTCCAAAGGGTTGTATTAGGAGTCATTCTTATCATGTGTATTGCTGAGAAAAGATTATGCTGAGAGTTGCCCTGACCTTGGACAATGAGGAGTTTCTCTCTCCTGCAAATAGTTCTTAGCTGGTTTCCTTGCAAAATAATTGTCTATCGTTTTTTGGATAATCTCTTGTGTGTAAGCACCAACGAACTTTTTGGTGTGGTTTTTTTCTTTTTTTAAATTCAAACCAACAAAAGTCATGCTCAGAGTGTCAGCTGAGTGTGTTATTTCTGCAATTTATCCAGTCGGGTATGTTTGCTGTAGGGCAGCGGAGCTCCTCGGGAGCAAGGAGAGTACATCAGCTTTGTCCCTGCGGCAGAGCGCGCTGGCTGCGTACAAGTGTCTCAGCCTCGTGGCCGGGCATCCTCTGGCCTGTGTGCTCTATGAAGAAACACGCTTTGATTAACATCCTAGGCTCGCTTTACCTTCGTGAGTCTCATAAATGTATGAAAATGCAAGAGAAATCAATGGGGAAGTCCATGGTTTTCTCTTTTTTTTTTTTATTAACTGTTGGATCTCTGTAGCAAGCTCCCATTCACGTCAGGTCCTGGGCTTCCTGAGACACGTTGAGCTCCGGCACGGCCGTGTCCGTCAGTGTTCCCATGGGGAAGGCAGAGTGACTTCCAGTCGATCGCTGTGTCCCCAGCAGAAGCAGCTCGGGGCTGGTACGGCTTCCTCCTGCAACGCCTCGGTCGCCTCGCAGGGTCGTGCCCGTGAGCGTGTGTGTGCAATAACCACTGCACATCTGCGCCTGGGCTTTGCCCAGTGCAAAACTTACAGTCAGCTGGCTGCGAAGACGGGGCTCCGGACGTAGAA